TACCAAATAATAATTTATTAATATAGTAAAATGTATCGAAAATGAACCAACCTAGTATCATAATTAGTACTGATGAGAAATTGGCCCTAGTTTGCCGATTATTATTCTATCAACCAACAGGATATCATTCCAACCCCCGAAAATTATGGAAAGATCTTAAAGCAGAGGGGTATCAGTTTCTATATAAAAAGATATGTGAGTGGCTTACAAACCAGAATGAATGGCAAAAATACGCTCTATCACCAAAAGATACTCCACAGGTTAGTTATGGAAAAATTTCATGTCCAAACTACGTACATATGTGTGATTTGTTACGCCTCACAAATGATACTGTTAATAAAAAGACATACAAATGGGTACTTACTATTATAAATGTCGCATCCCGTTTTAAATGGGCTGTTCTATTGACATCGAAAAACAGTTCAGAATTCACCAAAGCATTTAAGAAAATATATGATAATTCGAATGTCCCCCTTACCTGGCCTGATTTATTACAATGCGATGGTGGGCATGAATGGATAGGTGAGACTTCAAAAATAATGGAGGCACATAATGTTATAATCTGAGTTATAGGCCCGTATTCTCATCGAGGTCTTGCAATCATAGACAGATTTTGTAAGACATTAGCAAAGAAGCTATACAAAGTTCAATCCGCCGTTGAAACTATATCCGGGAATCCTAAATTAATAAAGGCATGGGTTAAACATTTACCAAATATTCTTGAATATCTGAATAATTATCTAACACGACTTATACGAGCGCCAGGATCAAAGAAATGGGAATTAGCGCTTATGAAAGCAATTAGATTGGATAGGATAGAGTCTAGACCATCTACAAAATACAAACGTTCAGTTGGTAAAGACGAAGAAAAATTAAAAAAGGGAGATACCGTTCGTTTCTTACTCACTAATGCCGAATGGGAAGGAGGTATGGAAAATCAAAGGCGTGCAACAGATGAAATTTGGAGCTCTTCTTTACATAAAATCCACAAAATTGTGATAACGAAAAACGAACCAATTTTATATTATTTAGATGGGGAATTCGCACCAACATGTGGGTTTGTATGTGAAGAATTAATGCTAATTGATCTCGTAAAACTTCAGTATCTGCCTCAAAGTATATTGGAGGAAAACACTCGTTCCCAGTCTGTTAATTTCGTTCGTATTATTAATAAAACCATCTAAAGTATTCCTTGAGGGCTAGTACTTTAGACTTTATTTCGTTATCTCTGAGGGCTGGTAATATTTTTTACTTTGATTTTTCATATCAACCTATTTTACCCAGCACAAAAATCTCCTTAGTACAAATAAACTACAGAATTTATTTATTTTTCAACATCTACTTCAACCTCAATCAGGCTGGATACTGATAGCTATTTCATTGGAGAATAGTAGCGAATAAGATACTGAAAACATCCACCTCAATTTAAATACTAGGTAGGCTGGATACGTGCATCTTCTCAATTATATAAGAAGTGGCGAGTAGGATGTACTTATATTGTTGTATTAATAAATAACCGAAAAAATAATTATTCGATTGTTATGCCTTATTTTATCTGATTTTAAAGTATTATATCTTTTGAAATATCGTCCTGGTTCGGCAGAATGTTTTTTATCTTTTAATCCCTCGATCTCCTTTTCTAGATCAAGAGGGGTGTTCCATCAAAGTAAGAAAGACTTAGATTTGGGTTTATTCAGATCTATAACTATAAACTCTTTTTGCCTCAAATAAACGTCAATAATTTTTGAAGCTTTTCGCAGATCTACATTAGTGTAAGGACTTATAATATCTGCAAGTTTTCGAATAGAGCCCCACTATTAAAGAGAACAATGTGAGTGGCATTTTCACGAATATCTATTGGGATTTTGTGGAATTTCTGAGCAACATAAATTGAGGAAATATTCTCTTGATGACCTCGAGTGAAAAATGGAATAATTTTTTTCTGTATAGCTGGGGGTCAGAGTAAAGATCTTCAAATATCGCTAATGTACTTTTTTTAGCATTAAACTTTTTGGGATCTGGAATTTTATCAGGAGATAGTGTAGAAAATGTGACATCTTCATAATAGGGCTTTGATTTGTCTTGAGCAAGATATTTATAAAAATCTCGAACTATTTTATATTTTGGCTCATTTAAATGATGTCCGAAAAGAAATACATCATTGTATTTAACATTACGTTTCTCTATCTTAAAATGCTTTTTCTTCTTAAACATATAATAAAATTTGGGCATTGTTAGCAAGTTTAAATTCATATTAGTCTTACCTGAATTGCTAGCCCCTGCCATTACGATACGAAAAGGCCATGCTGGTGCATCTCTATCTCCCTGGTATTTTTTCGAAGGTTTTACCTCATCCACGGCAAATACACAATATAACATCTTTTTGTTATAAATATATATTATGTTTTTTTATTCTGATGAATAATCTGATTTTGACACACTATTTATATCTATATTTTGTAGATAACCTTTCTCTTGCAATTTGCATTTTATGTATAGGAATAAATCAGCACTATATGGTATTTCAATAAGATCTATATTTCGCTCTTTGTATATTTCTCACTTTTTTTAGTCACGTTTTCTTTGATTATCTAGATCATCTTGATTTTTGTGATATAAACTATTGCGATAGTAGTGTTGAACTCCCTGAAATTCGTATGCCAATTTTAGCTCTTCATTATACCCATCTAATTGCATCCCATTCAAAAATGACGGTTTACAAGATGGAAATTTCTTACCTAACAGATCTTCGAAAATATA